AGGTTAGGTTAGTTTAGGTTAGGTTAGGTTAGGTCAGGTTAGGTTAGGTTGGGTTAGGTTAGGTTAGGTTAGTTTGTTTGATTAGGTAACATTTTTAAAATATTCGTAACGTTTCGGCACTTATTGCCATACCTCGTGGGTTAGTTTGTTAGATTAGGTAACATTTTTAAAATATTCGTAACGTTTCGTCACTTACTGCCATACCTCGTCACGCTTTTAAAATCTTGGTGATGTTTTAACACTTAAGGTGTCTTCTCGTCACGCTTTCAAAGGAAGTCACGCCTAGTCACGCTTTGTCACTAATTTATATAGTTGAAGATAAAGGAGTGTGATATGTCACAGAGCGATGGTCTGTGAGGAGTGGAAGAGGACCGACGAGTTGTGAAGAAGATAAAATTATCTAAAACTCTCTTCACTGTTAATTTTCTAGTGATGTGTAGTGTAGTGAAATCGATTTTCCTGTGTTACATAACGTGGTGATATTTTATTTGGAGGGTACTGTACACGCCATCCCTTCCAGCAAACGTCTGGTACGTGACTCGCTCCGAGGTTTTAATTCACAAAGTTCAGCGGCCAAAAACGCTGGAGCGCGGTAAAACATCTGTTCACGAATTGGACTTCGTAACTGAGCAGTTCCGTGTTGTGATGTCGACGTTGGGGGAGCAGCGGATTAGCGCATGCGCGTAATTTACGCAGTTGCTACGTGAATAAATCTCGTGTTTTGCGATGAAGCTCTCGAGACAAGACGATGCGAGTTTCAGAAGGACACATCAGTGGGGCACCTGAGCTGGACTTCAGTCGAGGCAACATGACGACATAAAAATCCCCATTAAAATGTGGAAGGAGCTGGAAATATCGATTCTTCAGCAAGTCGTGTCAGGATAATAATATAATTGCTTACGTTTGGGCGACTTGTGCGTACTTTTAGCCACCTGGATGTCAGAATAGACTTACTCATCAACTATTTCACTTTTTTTCCCTCTTCATGAGAATTTAACTTACATTTTCATGCTACACCGTAATCTGTAGAATATTTATAGCATTTATTATGACTGCCTTTAATTACTAGGGCTAATATGGACCGTTCACAGACGTAAAAGTGTTCGATCTTTTTTCACCATACCAAGGACATGTTTTCGTCCTTTTGTTACCGATCCTTTTTAAGTACCACGGCGGTGAGAATATCTGATCTAAGGCCTAGGTCAAGAATGCGTGGAGTTTACCCTCCATGCCGTTGTGACGTGGGCAAACTTTTCCTAGACCTAAGGGGAGCCGTAGAACTTACGTAGGCCGCTGTCATGGCGGGGTAAACCTGGAAGAAGGGCGTCACGACGTACAGGGGCCTCAGGTAGGCGTTGACGGCGTAAGACAAGTAGCTCGACGACGAGAGATACAGGAACGCAGCCACGGCGTTGAACAGAGTCTCCTGAGAACGAAACTTGCGTTAATGGAAGTCTCTCACTTGGCTCAGCAACGGCGGGACGTGTAGCACGCGTGGGAGAGGCGAGAGGTTGGTGAGGAAACGCCATTAAAATGAATGTCGGGGAGCGAATAATTTCTTACTTTAAATGCAATTGGAATGAAAAGTTACGAATACAAACAGTAATTACATTCATGCGAAGTATAAAATAAGTGAATCATCATAATTGCAGAAAGCATTATAAAGTTTTAATGTAACAGTGATATTTAACTATGTAACTGCCAGTGGTAACTATATGTACCACCTGCTTTAACAGTCAGTAACCCACTGCATTTTTCACACACAATATATTTACTATTTTCGAAATTAATGGCGAACAGCATTAGTCAGCTGACCGTTGCCATAGAGACGCGTTGTTAGGTTAGGTTAGGTTAGCCGACACTTACGAACATGGAGGCCCTGAGCAGGCCGTGCGACTTCGCGGACAGCAGGTAGCAGGCGAAGAGGATACTGGCTGTGAGCAGACACGACGCCACTGTGGTAAGGAAGCTGTCGTACGAGGGACCCAGAGTCTGGGAGTACGGCGTTCCGTAGTTCAGTACCAGGCTCTGGCAAACCGCGGCCAGGACCTGAGGCGACAAGCAGAAGGTTGAGTCGGGTAGACACGTGGCCTGACCACCTGTCACGCCACGTGTGAAATTGATCTTAAAGATACAGAGTGGGAGGATGGTGAGTGGATTTATCTGGCTGACGGTAGAGACCGGTGGCGGGCCCTTGGCGAATCCTGTAATTAACGGGCTGTTTAGGAAGTAGAGCTTTAATTCCTTGGCCAGCTGAGTGACTGTTAGCTTCTGAAACAGAAATCTGTTCCATGGTTTTTGGACATTTTACTTGAAAGAAACACAATGGAGCGTCTGGATTTCACAAACGAGTCTCAGGGTTGTCATTCTGTCAGACGTAACGTAACGGACTTACCACTTGAGAGAGCTTCAGTCTGCCCTCCGTGGTCCTGAGGAAAACCAGGTGGACGCACGTGCAGCACGTACAGCAGCAACAGTGGATCCCTCCCCGGCCGGCCTCCACGCCGCCTTGCCCCACCGTCACGACACGTGGTCGCCCCACGACCCTCTTCCCCATCACTACGCCACTGGACATCTTCCTGGGGCCTTCAACACAAATCACGGACTTTGTCATGACACTTGCAACTCACGTGCTATTCTGGGCATGCGCGTTGATCCTCGAAAAGCAGATATTGTTTTTCCTCCTTGTTTTTCGTGCGGTTATTTTAATTTCCTCCGCATTTTAAAGCCAGTAAAAGGTCGAAGCAACTTCGTTTTAGCTGCTTCAAGGTCATTTGGTGCTACGTTTTCTTCACTGCCCTGGTTTTTCAGACGTTTTTCGTTCAAAAAGTTTTTCTCCTGTGGATTCAGTCTGCATAATTACTCCACTCACTAAACGCAATTCTCATCATAGAAGCTAATTAACCCTTCGAAGCCGAAGCTCGTCTAAATAGCATTTAAGAATTCAGCCCGTACCGCGAAGAAAACACAACGCCTCACCGTTACAAAGATCAACTGGTTAACGCTGTTTAAGGAAATAATCGCTGTTT